CGTGTGCGCACCCGATGCTGGACGGGCGGGTTCACTGAGAGGGGCCCGGCCGGGGGCCGCTCTCGGAATATTAGAGCGTCCCCCTCCCCCCCCCCCTGCCGTGGCACGAGAGCCCTCCCTCTCTGGGGGGGGGAGACCCCCGCCCTGCCTTGCCCACACACACACACCGCCGCCCGCCGGGCCGGGGCGGTGTCGATTGGAGGGTGCGCGCCCGCCGGGCACCGTGCCCGCGCCGCCCCTCCGGAGGAGATGGCCGTAGACACGTGCTGGGCTGGGGCTGGCGATGGGGGAGCCGGGCAGGCAGCTGTATGCCCGAGAGAAGATGCGCGCGCCTGGTCGCCCTGCCGTCCGTCCACACCTGTGGGCCGGTCTAACGCCGGGGCGAGAGCCGGGCCATCAAGCCGGCGAGGGGCCGCTTGAGAGCGCGCGCAGGTGCAAGGCGGATGCGGGGAGCCCGATGAGGGGCGGCGTCATCTAGTGGCAGCCCTGCGTCCAGCTCGCCGGGGAGGGGGGGGGTGCGTCGGCTGCCGCCCGCCGCCCCCCGTCGCCGTGCCTGGGGCCCGGTGTGATGCGCGTGAGGGCGATCGCCCCGGCTCGCCCCCCAGGCCGCGGTCGGGACAGAGGCAGGCCCAGATCCGCCCCTCTTGTCATGACTAAAATTTAGGTTTGGCCCTGCTCGGTAGGATCCGCGCGGATCTCCACTGCCAGAGCCACGCCCGCGACCCGGGCTCGGTGACAGCCGCAGGCCGAGGGGCTCAACACCCAAGAAACAGCGCCAGATCGTGGCCGGGCGTCCCAGCCGGCCCAGTGCCTCGCGCGGTTCTGAACAGCGCTTTTGGACGCGCGTGATCACCGGCCAAGAAGTCACCCGACCTCCCGGAGAGTCGTCCGCGCGGCTGGCCGCCGCCGCCCCTGCACGCAGAGCCGTTTCCTGGGATGCTTGTGTGGGGCCGGGCGGACGGGCGAGCGGGCGGACGGGTGGGCGAGCAAAAATCAGGCAGAGAGATAACCATAACCGGGCACAGGAGGGGGGCGGGACCGGGGGGCGGGCATCGGTGGCGTGGCGCTCTTTCCTGCCCGGGGCCTCGGGGTGCGTGTCACACCCGGGGCGGGG